CCTTCACATTCTAAGTTATTATCAGGTTAAAAACCACTGAGATAGACCATCATCCCCCCCCCCAAAAAAAGCACGTTTTCTGCATCTCAAACACAACTTCTGCTGACAACATCTGTTTTGACTGATGGGGCGCTCTGATCATCCAATTCAGACAGAGGTTTAGCTCAGACAGCGATTTGATTTCTATCACTAAATGGAAAGGACTCCCCTTATATGGATTCGATCCAACAATCCCTCGGATGTCAAGAGCATTTGAGAGCCTTGTTTTCTTTTCATGCTAATAATAAATATAATTATGCAGGCGTAGATGTAATGGCAGTCACAGAACATCTGCAAGGAATTGTGGGTTAAACATCTCCATATGTCTTTCGGGGGTCTAAATTTACCCGGGCAGGATTTTCTGCTTTGCATTTTGTCTACCACAGAATGGAATATGCTGACGAAACTGCAGACATGTACCTAGATGTATGAATTTCATGCTCGTATCCGTGGAAAAAAAAATACGGCTTTTTTCTTTCCTTTAAATTGCCAACAGGTGTCATCACCTTTTTTAACGGAACTCCCATATTAGAATGGAGAGTAAGGGAAGCAGGGAGGGGGGGAGAAGAGAAGAAATGGATTCAAAGTAAAAGAGATTTTTGTTGGCAAAGAAACCAAGTGCTGGTAAGTTGTGCTGTGAAACAAGTCAGAAAAATCAAATCACCCCGGTGCACGAGAAAAAGAATTAGTTATGAGACATAAAGAAAGGAAAAGACAACACGTGGACGAAGGGAAGCTTGACTTTAACACTCAAACAAACAAAAGGAAGTTAATAGGGCCAGTGGCCACATCTAAGATGCTGCTTGCCTCCTGCACAGGTTGCCAAGTGGATCACATGGCTGTTAAATGAATCCATGGCTGTTAAGTGAATCACACATGGACGTTAAATGAATCTGGCTTCCCCCGTTGAGTTTGCCTGTTGGAAGTCAGCTGGAAGTTCACAAATGGAGATTTATTTGTTTATTATTCAGATTTCATGCTTCTTCACCGGCCTCAGAGAGGGGCTTTGACCCTCGGAGGCTGCAACTGTCCTAAGTCCATGTCAGTTGCCAAGCCTCTGAATTTTGATCACCTGACCACGGGGATGCTGCAACAGTTGTGGTCAGTCACAAAGTCGCCTGTTCCCTGCCGTCACAACTCAGAACAGACCAAAGGTTGTAAGTCAAGGACAACCTGTACATGAAACACAGAAAGGGGTGCTGTAGGAAAATTCATTAAATTTCCCCCTTTTTCAGAAATAGAGCAAGGTAGAAAGCTAGAAAACTGACAGCGGAAGAAAAAAAAAACCCATCAAGTCTGCCCTCTTGAGGTTTCTTTTCTGTTTTTCTTTGTAATTAATTGTTGTTTTTTATTCTATTACCATTTTTATTCTATATTTATTTATTTATTGTCGGACGATGGGTATGTGTTTATCCCAAGCATATTTAAAGTTTCTGCTGAAAGTTGGTTCCAAGCTTCCACTTAGTCCTTCTGTGAAGTCAGACTTTCTAATGTGATTTTTGAATTTCCTTCCTTTCAGTCTGAGGTTCTTGATTTTTGCTTCCTATTGAAAATTAATTAATATTGAAAACATGCCCTGTTTTTTCTTTTCTGCATCCAACAGCACATCATACTTGATAGAAAATCTGTGTAACAATCTACACAATCCCTTAAAAACACTCCTCCACCACTCTAGTTTGTGTAGTTGGGCATCAGAAGGGTGACCAATATATGCCGAAGAATTATTCAATTTATCTACACTTGTTGTGATGAAGATTGGGAATCGCCTCTTTACATATTTCTTTCATCTTCCGCTATTATTCTGTTTCTTTTTATTTTTCTTCTCTTTTTCTTTTCTTCCTGCACTTTTAATTATTTCTTTCCATTCTCTCCTCTTTCTCTAACTTCAGTTTGTATTCATTTTCACTACTGTAATTCATAAAACAGAAGTCTTATTCAAAGAGAAGAACACTACTTGAAAAACGAAAGAAGACGTGTTGATACCCACGGAGTTAAGAGACAATACACTATCATACTTTCGTCCCTCAACAGCACCTGCTTTTTCTACGTCGCATGAGAAAAGCACATCTTCCTTCCCCTGTCCTCACCACTTTCTACAGAGGGACGACCGAGAGCATCCTGTCATACAGCATCACAGTCTGGTTTGGAAACATCCCTGCTTCAGACAGGAAGGCGGTGCTGAGAGTGGTGAGGACAGCAGAAAAGAATCATGGGCAGTTCCCTCCCTTCCATCCAGGACATGGCATATAATTGTTGCTTGAGCAGGGTCTGCAAGATTGTCTGGGATGCTACATACCCTCTTCTTGTTATCTTCTGGGAGGGGGCTTTGCAGTATCCGAAGCAGAACAATTAGATTCTGTAATAGCTTCGTACCATATAATATCAACCTTAACTCTCAAGACTCTTTTTTCGCTATGTATTCAAAACGGACAATGATTAATATTTATACATATACATATACATATTATATATATACACATACACATACTGTACATAGTGCTTTTTTTCTTTAAAAAAAAAAAAGGTGCAGGAACTCACACACATCATACAACCTGCCTTGCCTACCCTATAAGGTTCCATCCAAAAAAGGTGCTGGAACTCCGTTCTGGGCGTTCTATGAGAAAAAAAAGCCCTGCATATATCTCAGGGGCTGCCCCAAAGAAGAGGGAGTCAAGCTATTCTCCAAAGCGCCTGAAGGCAGGACAAGAAGCAACGGATGGAAACTAATCAAGGAGAGAAGCAACCTGGAACTCAGGAGAAACTTCCTGACAGTGAGAACAATTAACCAGTGGAAGGAACAACCTGCCTCCAGAAGCGGTGAATGCTCCAACACTGGAAGTTTTTAAGAAGAGACTGGACAGCCATCTGTCTGAAATGGTGTAGGGTTTCCTGCCTGAGCAGGGGGTTGGACTAGATGACCTCCAAGGTCCCTTCCAACTTTAATAATAATAATAATAATAATAATAATAATAATAATAATAATAATAATAATAATAATAATAATAATAATAATAATAATAATAATAATAATAATAATAATAATAATAGACAAAAAAGTCTGGATAGTGGACGTGGCAGTGCCTGGAGACAGCAGAATAGAGGAGAAAGAACTGGAGAAGATCACAAAATACAAAGACCTACAAATAGAAACAGAAAGATTGTGGCAAAGGCAAGCAAGGGTAGTACCAATAGTCATAGGTGCCTTGGCTGCAATCCCAAAACAACTGGAGCACCTCTTGGACACCATCATCGACATTGACAGATTCGCCATTAGTCAATTGCAAAAGGCGGCCTTACTAGGAACTGCTTCCATCCTGCGACGATATCTGTAATACCATCAAACACCCACATCTGCCTATCCCAGGTCCTGGGTAAGGACTCGATAGGTAGACAAAATGCCAAATCCAGTCTGAACATCTGGCTGACTGTGCGATGATCAATAATAATATATTATTATTATTATATACATATGCATATATATGGGGTGGTATATGTGTGTATGTGTACATGTGTACATGTGTGTTGTGTGTGGGTATGGGTAGATATATATGTTCTTTTGAGAGCAGGCAATAGAATTTCATTTTTTATGTGGGCCAGTGTGCTCAGAGTAAAAAATGCAATAAAAGTCATCTCATCTCATCCTAGCTATCCTATCTTATTATTTTTTTTAAATCCTGCTTTTCAGATTTTCTCCATTCATTAAAGTATTAGAAACAAAAGTCCTTCAAAGGTTTTGATTTGATAGTTGTCCTCTAACATTTATCAATTACTATAAAACCTGCAGGCAGGTTTTAGGGTGCCAATTCGCCTTCCATAAGCCACTGCTGAATGACCAGTGGTTTTTTTTTTTTTAAAGAAATGGTGACGACAAAAGACCATTCAGTACTTGCCAAAGCAAAGGACTTAAGTGGATTATTTTAAATACAAGTTGCATATTCTTGTGGACGTTTGTTTTTTTAAGGGAAGATAGGTAATTTTGCAGGATAATGGACTCTTGTGCAGGATAACAAGACTCTTGTCCTTAATCCAAAGAATGTTAATTCTGATTAAATAGCAGACCAGTCTCTCTGCTATAATTAGCATCTCGAGTCTTGTGGTAAACCACAAAGTCTATCAAGCTCTCCACCACGAGAAGAAATTCTGCTACCCCCTTGTCCCCCTAAAACAGAGCAGCATAAGATTTCTGGGATTTGGACCTAAAATCATAACAGAAAGAATCTGAAGCCAAAGCAGGAGAATGGATCTGAGCATTGACCACAGAAGGCAAAAAGGCCATTGGGTGTAATCAAGGAAACTTGAGTCGGAGAACTTACCACAAAAGTCACTCCAGCTTTGAGGGCAGGGTAGAATTTGAGGGAATGGATAGATAGCCCTGCTTACTTAGAGTGATTTGTTTTATGGGCTCCAAGAAAAGTGTGATAAAGAGTGATAAACCGAATGCTGTGTAGTGTAAGACAAAACCCACCACCTCCTCCTTTTTTCAACTCTGCATCTTATGACGGGACAACGAGTGCAGTTGTCCTTTTTTTCAAAAACTCTGATAGGAACACGAAACATTTCGGCTTCCTGCCAAGTTGGTAAATAATTCCCGCACCTATTGTTATTTCTGATGATACCAGGAATCGTGTGTCCTTGCTGTGGAGACTGAAACACACAGTTGAGTAAAGATTGAGGAAAGAGGCCACAAAGACTGGGGTGACCTCTTCTTATCACCCAACTTTTCCGGCCAGGGATCTGTGTCTCCATCCCGACTGTTTATTCCTACCCTTTGGCCCCAGCCTTGGCTAATCTTATCTTGACGCAACCCACAGCAGTAGGGAGATGTGCAACACCCCCCCACTGCCACACAAACCTTGGGACAAACGAGTTTGACTAGAGGCTGGTAGATTATTTACAGGACTGGAAATATCACAGGCCAATCTCGCCCTACACGGAGCAGGGTGAACTTTCTCTCCACTCACCGATCACAATGAGCGTATAGTTCACGTTCATGCTGCCAAAACCGTTGGTGGCTTTGCAGATATAGGTCCCCGCATCCTCGGTCTCCACTTCCTTGATCTTCAGGCCTTGTTGAAGGACGCGGAACCTCGTCCACCCACTGTGGATGGTCCGCCCGTCTTTCGTCCACATCGTGAGAGGCGGAGGGTCACCTTCGACCGGACACAAAAGCTTGATGGTTCTTCCTAACCTCACAGATTGCCGGTGGATCACTTTGTCGGCAATTCTGGGTGGGCCTGGAAGAAGAAAGAAGGAAATCCATACGTTATTTGGTGATGGGCTGGAAGCAGAAGATACAACGATGAGATGTTTTACATGGATTACGTAAACATGGAAATCAGTCACTTCTGATCAAATACTTAATAGACAACGTGTTGTCTGGGTCCATTAGTAATTCAGTGGTCTATATTAACTTCTTCAATCTAGATCCAGTATTACACCATGCAATGTTTCCTCTTTTCTTCCAATAGCACCTGTTTTCCCACAGTAGGAAAATACAATTCTTATTGTTATTAGTAAATACACAATTGAATATCAGCATCTTTGTTACATTTTTCTCATAATATCAATGATGTATCAATCATAATATCAATCATAATATCAATGATATCAATCATCGGCACTAAGACTCAATAATTTAGGGGTCTTCAAACTTGGCTGCTTTAAGACTTGTGGGCTTCAATTCCCAGAATTCCTCAGCCAGCCATGGCTGGCTGAGGAATTCTGGGAATTGAAAGTCCACAAGTCTTAAAGCAGCCAAGTTTGAAGACCCCTGCAATAACTGATCCTTCCATGATTGCTAAGCGAGGGCTACCTATACATGGTATTTTTGTTTTCACATCAACACGGTCGTGGACTTAATAAAAGAATAACGGAGTTGGAAGGGACCTTGGAGGTCTTCTAGTCCAACCCCAAGCTCAAGCAGGAGATCCTACACCATGCTGGACAAATGGCTGCCTAGTTTCTTCTTAAAAACCTCCAGTGATGGAGCACCCACAACCTCTGTAGGCAAAGCCATTCCACTGATCGATTGTTCTTATTGTCAGGAAGTTTCTCCTTAGTTCTAGGTTGCTTCTCTCCTTGATTAGTTTCCATCCGTTGCTTCTTGTCCTTCCCTCAGGTGCTTTGGAAAATAGATTGACACCCCCTTCTCCTTTGTGGCAGCCCCTCAAATAATATTGGAAGACTGCTATCACGTCGCCCCTAGTCCTTGTCCGCATTAAACCAGACATACCCAATTCTTGCAACCGTTTATCCTTTGTTTTAACTTCCGGTCCCCGAATCGTCTTCTGTGTAAGTAAGTACATTGCAGCATTTACAAGAAGCCCTCTTCAAAGTGACATTCACAATTTCTCCTTCCCTACTCTCTGCCTTCCACCATCCATGGCTAGGAATCAATCATGGACCCCAATGTACACTCTTAATTGTGACACCCTCCTTAATCCCCCAGTGAAAACCAGATCCACGTTGTTTTTCAACGCCTGTAATTTGGGGGGGGGGGCTGAATCCTATGTAAGGAATTTGCAGTTTTGTTCTGTCTTTACAACACTGCCTTTATTGTGTTCCAGGTGACAATAAGGAGCACAAATATTTCAGGGTAAGCAAGTCGCAAGCTAGCATAAATTTGACAGAACACAATAAGCAAAGGTTTAGGATAATTAAATTGGTTTCAATGCCTGGGCTTAAAGAGAAGCAGACAAATGGACGGATTTAGTTCCCTTACTTGGGACCACAACGGGAATACTTGCCTAGTCTGGTTATTTAAAAAGAGGAGAGAAAAAAAAATCCACCTGTCACAAGGAACAGCTGACCCATCTTGAATTTAGTTTCTGCTCTTCTGACACAGATGGGGGAAAATTAGCTGCATTCTATGCTGAAATATTAAAAGCGTACCGATGTCTTTCCCGGTTACTGACCCACTGGATCTAGCCACTTCATTTGGGACTGCTCTTCTTTAAAAAGGCATGTAAAAAAGGCAAAAATCTTGCACAGGAGGAGAATTCTGAAATCAAATGAGAATGATTATTGCTCAATACCAGAACGAAGTTTCCCAGCTGTCGGGATCAACTCATTAAGTCATATGGTATTTCAAAGGAATGTCGCTTTCAATTATTATTTAATTGATGTTCCTCATCTATACTTCAGGTGAAGAACGGTGGCACGAATTGGGTATGTCTAATCTAAGGAAGAGAAGGACCAGGGGTGACATGACAGCAGCGTGCCAATATCTCAGGGGCTGCCCCAAAGAAGAGGGAGTCAAACTATTCTCCAAAGCCCCTGAAGGCAGGACAAGAAGCAATGGATGGAAACTCATCAAGGAGAAAAGCAACCTGGAACTAAGGAGAAACTTCCTGACAGTTAGAACAATTAACCAGTGGAACCACCTGCCTCCAGAAGCGGTGAATGCTCCAACACTGGAAGTTTTTAAGAAGAGACTGGACAGCCATTTGTCTGAAATGGTATAGGGTTTCCTGCCTGAGCAGGGGGTCGGACTAGATGACCTCCAAGGTCCCTTCCAACATTATTATTAATAATAATTACTGGAAATGGCTGGCTGTATTCAGACAGCTTGCTAATCCAAAGTCTTCTGAATTCCCTTTTTATTCTTAACACAATAACAGAACATCCCCTCATCTACAGTATATTTCAGATGAAGAACGGTGGCAGGAATTGGGTATGTCTAGTTTAATGAAAACAAGGTCTATGGAGGACATGATAGCAGTCTTCCAATATCTCAGGGGCTGCCCCAAAGAAGAGGGAGTCAAGCTACTCTCCAAAGCACCAGAAGGCCGGACAAGCAGCAACGGATGGAAACTAATCAAGGAGAGAAGCAACCTAGAACTAAGGATAAACTTTCTGATAGTTAGAACAAGTAACCAGTGGAACAACCTGCCTCCAGAAGCGGTGAATGCTCCAACACTGGAAGTTTTTAAGAAGAGACTGGACAGCCATTTGTCTGAAATGGCATAGGGTCTCCTGCTTGAGCAGGGGGTTGGTCTAGAAGACCTCCAAAGTTCCTTCCAACTCTGACGATGTTCTATGTTCTATACCAATCAAATAAATAAATACAGTTTACTGTAATAATACCTTGAACCTATCCTGAAAGTTAGTGACAGCATATAAAAATCACATGGGACACATTTATTTATATCCATTTTAGCCAGTTCTATGGAGAAGTTCATATTTAAGTAACGATGTCACACATACACAAAGGAGGCCGGATCCATTCTACGTTTTCATTTCTATCACCTTTGGAGTCGCCAAAAAGTAAGAAAAGGGGGGGGGGAATGATTTTAAAGTTTTTTTATGCTGTAAGCTGCCCAGAGTTATTTCAAAATAAGGTGGGGCAGCAAATAAATTTAATTATATATATTTGGAGGGGCGGGCAAGACTCATAAAAATAAAATAAAGCATAATAATCCCCAATCAAATCAAACAGAACTTTAAGACATCATTTAAACCATTTACAGATTTTTAAAAAACGGCTTAAACGCCAAACGCTTTTGAACTTAAGATCAGATCAAATGGCCACCCTTATTCATATGGAAACACACCTGCGCTCACTGTGGCTATGAAGGCCAAGGAAGCAGAAAGTATATTTTTAAATCAAATGAAGGGTTTTTATTCCGTCTGCAGAGCACCTAACAGCAACATCTATCCAAAAAAACCCATTATTATTATTATTATTATTTTTGCCATGAATTGGAAACTAAATGCTTTCCAACTTAAATAAGGTCTCTGAAAAATAGTTCCTTCTCTTTCAGAGTTTCCGATTCGGGTCCTCTTGGCAACAGAAAGTACGGAAAGCTACACGTAGGTCCTAGTGAGATCAAAGGAGAGTCTGAGGAACATGTAACTAGAAGTATCTATGGCAAGGAGGTCAAAAAAATCAAGATGGCGCCGGCAATTGTGTGACTGAGCCTCCGTTTTTATGCATGCTTTGCAAATAACATGCCACTAAAGAGAGAAAATTGCTTTAAGACTTCAGAGCCTAAAACTGTAAAAGACAATGGACTATATCAACTGTCTTTGGGCCACCAGGGATCGGTTCTGCTACCATTTTAGATCTGAAAAGACTGGAACCCCCTCTTAGGAGGTTTACTCGAAAGAAACCAGAGAAGGATCCCTGGTGGTGTTTTGTGTGAGTTGTGAGCTATTGGAGAAGGGCGAAGGCCTTTTGTAAGCCATCCATTAAAAACACGGGACAACAGATGATTCATTTACGCGGAGGCGACACCCTACCTACGACACCAGACCTTTGTCTTTCAGTCCCTGTTCAGTAGAATTCGTAACTAAAGTCGTTTTTTTCCCGACCCACTCCTTAAGACCCTCAACTTCAGGTGGTCAGGATTTTCCCGGTTCAACCTTCTGGGGACAGAATTTAGATTGTTTGTTTTACCTCCGACCGACTCCTTAAGACCCTCTTGAAGTCCACAAGTCCTAAAAGGGCCAAGTTGGAAGACCCCTGTCTTAAATCTAACAAACAAAATGGAGGCTGGCTGAGGAATTCTGGGAGTTGAAGTCCACAAGTCCTAAAAGGGCCAAGTTGGAAGACCCCTGTCTTAAATCTAACAAACAAAATGGAGGCTGGCTGAGGAATTCTGGGAGCTGAGGTCCACGAGTAATAAAAGGGCCAAGTTTGAAGACCCGTGTCTTAAATCTAACAAACAAAATGGAGGCTGGCTGAGGAATTCTGGGAGCTGAAGTCCATGAGTCCTAAAAGGGCAAAGTTTGAAGACCTTTGTCTTAAATATAACAAACAAAATGGAGGCTGGGTGAGGAACTCTGGGAGCTGAAGTCCACGAGTCATACCCCTGTCTTAAATCTAACAAACAAAATGGAGGCTGGCTGAGGAATTCTGGGAGCTGAAGTCCACGAGTCATAAAAGGGCCAAGTTTGAAGACCCGTGTCTTAAATCTAACAAACAAAATGGAGGCTGGCTGAGGAATTCTGGGAGCTGAAGTCCATGAGTCATAAAAGGGCCAAGTTTGAAGACCCCTGCTGTAGATGAATGTCGTTTCCTTATATTACCACCACTCAATTAGTAACAAACATCTAATTTCTACTCCAGGTATAATTAAAATAAATCCTTAGTCTCCCCCCCCACATTCTATTTTACAAATCCAATCGTAAAGACATATCAAGAAATGCCCTGAAATTCTCTAAAGTTTCCTGTTTTACCACAATGCCAAATCTCAATTGACTTATGACAATAGCATGGCACCAGGCCAGAGATATCGGAGAGCAGGGACTATTTCCAGGACCTAAAAGCTTGCCTGCGTGTTGCTCTAGCAGGCAGAAGGAGAAAAACTCGAGCGAAGGAAGACAAGATGCTGAGGGTCTGCGGAATCTTAAGGGAGAAAGTATGGGCTGCTCATAAGAAGTTGGAGTTTCCTGACAAAACATTGGGGAAAAAATATGATTTAAAAAAAAAATCAGCAGGTGGGGAGGGAGGGAGAGAGGTAGGAGCAAGGGAGGAGCCAAAGGAGGGAGGGAGGGAAGGGAAGGGAAGGGAAGGAAGGAAGGAAGGAAGGAAGGAAGGAAGGAAGGAAGGAAGGAAGGAAGGAAGGAACCTTCCTTCCTTCCTTCCTTTTCCTCCCTCTTTCCTTCTTTTTTCTCCCTCCCTCCCTCTTTCCCTTCCTTCCTTCTTTCCTTCCTTCCTTCCTTTTCCTCCCTCTTTCCTTCTTTTTTCTCCCTCCCTCTTTCCCTTCCTTCCTTCCTTCCTTCGAAGGAAGGAAAAGGAGGGAGAAAGGAAGAAAAAAGGGAGGAAGGAAGGAAGGAAGGAAGGAAGGAAGGAAGGAAGGAAGGAAGGAAGGAAGGAAGGAAGGAAAGGAGGGAGAAAGGAAGAAAAAAGAGGGAGGGAGGGAGGGAGAAAGGGAAGGAAGGAAGGGAGGAAGGAAAGGAGGAAGGAAGGAAAAGGATGGAGAAAGGAAGAAAAAAGAGGGAGGGAGAAAGGGAAGGAAGGAAGGAAGGAAGAAAGGAAGAAAGGAAGGAAGGAAGGAAGGAAGGAAGGAAGGAAGGAAAAGGAGGGAGAAAGGAAGAAAAAAGGGAGGAAGGAAGGAAGGAAAGAAGGAGGGAGAAGGAAGGAAGGAAGGAAGGAAGGAAGGAAAAGGAGGGAGAAAGGAAGAAAAAAGGGAGGAAGGAAGGAAGGAAGGAAGGAAGGAAGGAAGGAAGGAAGGAAGGAAGAGGGAGAAAGGAAGAAAAAGGAGGGAGGGAGAAATGGAGGAAGGAGGAAAAAGAAAATAAAAGCCTATCAGTCTCCCTTTGGGATCGTGAGAATAACTCATAAGTATCACATTTTCAATTAGACTAATACAGGCAGTTGGATTAATAGAACATAGTTGTTGTTTTTTTAAAGGTGCTTAATTTGCAGACTAAGAGATCATCTGGAGAACTTCAGTGGAGCACACCAAGCACATGTAAAGGTCCTTTTTTTTTGCTGAAATCAATGCTTACGATGACTTGTCCCTGACTTTCTGTTTCCAGACCACAGCATCCATCCCACAGCGGGAGGCCGTAAATGAATCATCTGTTGTCCCGTGTTTTTAATGGATGGCTTACAAAAGGCCTTCGCCCTTCTCCAATAGCTCACAACTCACTGCAAAACACCACCAGGGATCCTTCTCTGTTTTCTTTCGAGTAAACTTCCTAAGAGGGGGTTCCCGTCTCTTCAGATCTAAAATGGTAGCAGAAACCAGAAGTAAATGCTACGGATCCAGAATGCCACAAAGAAAGCAACAGAACAGGTGAAGGATCAGATGACATGGTTGCAATTGTGAATTAGCTTTGCAACTGCTCCGTTCCATGTTTCTGTT